ATTTTGTAATTTGCTTGTGGCGTACACAAGAACAATTATCACCTTTTAACGGTAGTGTCTCCCATGGGACAAATCAAAGACCGTGGCCACCTGGCCTGAGTTCCATTAGGCGCTCTGGTCCAGATTGCCGATGATGATGATGATAACGACATAGATGCTGATGATTATAATAGTGGCAATGAAGGTGCTGTGCGTGTACAGCCCTTTTGCCTATCCACTGCTGGATGAGGGTTTTATCACTTTTTGTGGTCATTGGGGGGTTATTTGACCATACTTCACCACGCTGGTCAGTACGGGCTGGTGAAGGCGGGCAACATAATTGCTTTATTCTTTAGAACTGCTTTTGGTGTTTAGTGTTGTGTCCTTCCCCCGCACCTCCGATTAACATGGTTGGCTATGTACGGTGCAAAAGAAGTTCAACATACAGATGTATGTATATAACATTATATTAAAACAGCATTATGACAGGGTAGTCGTGTGTGTGTTATGTAAACACGTCCTTACGGGTAATTACAAAACTCGTCACAATGCACAATGTTTCACATTGTATGTACTGTATAATGTCGTCTGAATGAAGAACTAACTATACTGCCAAAGACTCATTTAGGGATTTGGCCAAACATTGCAACACACGAACCCCCCTTGAGAAAACATTGGTTTAAGTTTCAGTGAGTTCAACATACATACAGTGGATGTCACTGCCACCACCCTTTTCAGCCGACAACATAGCCAATGGATAGTTTAGCACTGTAATGAAGGTGTTATGACAATAATGAGGAAGGAACGATGGTTGTGGTAGCAGTCCATTCGGCCTTTCTTTCATCTGGGGTTCATAAAATAGATTTGTGGGAAGTTAACAATTGTTGTCCTGTTGATAAATTCACTCCTGCCATCGGAAGTGGAATTTCCAGCACTCTTAACATGAGATTAAACCTGCCACTTGCTTAATTGTGCAACACAATACTTTGACGGTATACGTGTAAAATAACCAAGTTGCGAATACATTGTGTAGTTTAGAAAATGTTAATAATATATTTCAAAATATTGTATCGCATTTATCATCGACACCACTTTGTAAAAGGAAATTATAACAGGTTAACATTTCGGATAAGAATGGTAATTAACTGAAAATTAAGTATCTTTGATATATGTATTCTGATCATATTCGAGGAGGGCTTTTTTTATCTGAGAAATATATATATTTTTTACCAATTTTATTCCAATCGTGCGATGGTTCCATGTCATGAGATGAAGTGATTTACATTTTGAGCAGTGCATCATCCTGTCAGGAAATGGCTTTGGAAGATCACATCAATGAACTTCTGTACGTGTGTAGCCTCTTCATTAGACCTCTTTATTCACACGAGAGACACACACCTTTTAATGTCTTGCAGAGTGTCACGTGTAGGTTAAACAGATTTTTTTAAAGCCTCAGAGCAGGGATAAGCCAAATTAAGTTAAAAGCAATTTTATGCAGTTTTACTTTTTGTGAAGTCAGTGGTAACCAGGTTGATACTCTGTCCACTCACTACACTTGAGAACCCAGTTTAATTGTGGGGAGTTGCCCAGATTTGCTCCAGGCCCTTAGTGATCATGGATTGGTATTCTGACCCTTGAGCCACTCAGCCATCTTCAGGGTGATGAAATAATCAAATTTTTTATTATTATCATTTTATGAAAAGTTTTGTTGTTCAATCAATGGTGAGCACATTGCACTACAAATCTAGCCACCTGAGTTCAATTCATGACCACAGCTAATAATAGTGGCGAGTAATATCTGAACTAACCCGCACTGACCAACGTGGTCGCATATGGTCATGAAACTGCCACGACCTGCATGGCGAGGGGAGGCCTTCACTCAGCAGTAGATTAAAAAAGGCCTGCAAATTACAGTCAAACTCCGTTTATCCAGGATAAACATGGGAGACAGGAACTCCGGTTCCCAATATCTGGGGTCCTAACTGGATAATTGGAAAAAATGCCGAATATCTCTGTTCATCCGTGGTCCCTGACCCTGGATATTTGGAAGAGCCCTGCCTACGCATGACACGTGACAAAAACGTCACTGAATGCGGCATGGACCAGCAGGCAAAGGCGTGGGGACACCTCGAGGGCATTCTGTGACGAAGATTTACAGTCACGTGAGGAGGTCGCCATCATCATCATCAGGCGCTTGCCCCTCAGGCACCAGCCCTACGGGGTATCTCCTACCATGAGATGGGTAGGTATGGGAAGGGGGCTTGCTTGCTTTTGTGTTCGGAGAGGCTTCCCAGGACTAACACTTCAACAATGCAGTGCAGAAAGCGCCGCATCGACATTTGTCCCCTTACTTAATTTGGTGACAGGAGCCAATGCTAGGGTCTGTTCAGCCACTTTAATCTGGATAACGACGGATATTTGTAATTATTTGCCAAATAACCCCCTTTAACCGTGGTCTGGACCTCGGATATTTGTATGGCCACACCCGCCAAATATTTGGAAGAGAGAACTGGGTTTTGCTGGCCCCAGATAAACTAATTCACGCATAATCGGTTTGCGGGTAATAGAGTTTAACTATACTCTAGTGTTGTGTTTTTTTATAGCTGTATTCGCATGTGTCCAATATGACAACTATATTGTATTTTAAACGAGTCATGTTAAATTGAAATGTGAATTAAAATGATTACCTCGGAAAGTAACTGGAAATTAAACTGAGGGAAGTTGCGACAAATTACTATCAGTTAGAGCAAACTTTTTGTAATATTTCAAGCCAACATTTAAAGAGCCATCACGTACAAAAAATACACGTGATTATTTTTGTATTATTTTTTTATCTACAGTGAGGGAAAAAAGTATTTGGTCCCCTGATGATTTTGTACGTTTGTCCACTGACAAAGAAATGATCAGTCTATAATTGTAATGGTTGGTTTATTTGAACAGTGAGAGACAGAATAACAACAAAAAAATACAGAAAAACGCATGTCAAAATGTTATAAATTGATTTGCATTTTAATGAGGGAAATGATAATTCGATCATTTTAATGGTAGGTTTATTTGAACAGCGAGAGACAGAATAACAACAAAATCCAGAAAAACGGATGTCAAAAATGTTACAAAATTGATTTGCATTTTAATGAGGGAAATAAGTATTTGACCCCTCTCAATCAGAAAGATTTCTGGCTCCCAGGTGTCTTTTATACAGGTAACAAGCTGAGATTAGGAGCACACTCTTATAGGGAGTGTTCCTAATCTCAGCTTGTTACCTGTATAAAATACACCTGTCCACAGAAGCAATCAATCAATCAGATTCCAAACTCTCCACCATGGCCAAGACCAAAGAGCTCTCCAAAGATGTCAGGGACAAGATTGTAGACCTACACAAGGCTGGAATGGGCTACAAGACCATTTCCAAGCAGCTTTGTGAGAAGGTGACAACAGTTGGTGCGATTATTCGCAAATGGAAGAACTGTCAATCTCCCTTGGCCTGGGGCTCCATGCAAGATCTCACCTCGTGGAGTTGCAATGATCATGAGAACGGTGAGGAATCAGCCCAGAACTACACGGGAGGATCTTGTCAATGATCTCAAGGCAGCTGGGACCATAGTCACCAAGAAAACAATTGGTAACACACTACGCCGTGAAGGACTGAAATCCTGCAGCACCCGCAAGGTCCCCCTGCTCAAGAAAGCACATATACATGCCCGTCTGAAGGTTGCCAATGAACATCTGAATGATTCAGAGGACAACTGGGTGAAAGTGTTGTGGTCAGATGAGATCAAAATGGAGTTTTTTGGCATCAACTCAACTCGCCGTGTTTGGAGGAGGAGGAATGCTGCCTATGACCCCAAGAACACCATCCCCACCGTCAAACATGGAGGTGGAAACATTATGCTTTGGGGGTGTTTTTCTGCTAAGGGGACAGGTCAACTTCACCGCATCAAAGGGACGATGGACGGGGCCATGTACCGTCAAATCTTGGGTGAGAACCTCCTTCCCTCAGCCAGGGCATTGAAAATGGGTCGTGGATGGGTATTCCAGCATGACAATGACCCAAAACACCCGGCAAGGCAACAAAGGAGTGGCTCAAGAAGAAGCACATTAAGGTCTTGGAGTGGCCTAGACAGTTTCCAGACCTTAATCCCATAGAAAATATGTGGAGGGAGTTGAAGGTTCGAGTTGCCAAACGTCAGCCTCGAAACTTTAATGACTTGGAGAAGATCTGCAAAGAGGAGTGGTACAAAATCCCTCCTGAGATGTGTGCAAACCTGGTGGCAAACTACAAGAAACGTCTGACCTCTGTGATTGCCAACAAGGGTTTTGCCACCAAGTACTGGGTCGTGTTTTGCTCATTAAAATGCAAATCAATTTATAACATTTTTGACATGCGTTTTTTCTGGATTTTTGTTGTTGTTATTCTGTCTCTCACTGTTCAAATAAACCTACCATTAAAATTATAGACTGATCATTTCTTTGTCAGTGGGCAAACGTACAAAATCAGCAGGGGATCAAATACTTTTTCCCTCACTGTACGTGGCTTTACAGAAAGACCCAAAGAATATAATACACATAGTATGTTCCAACAACATGTTTGTTTAATCATTATTTTTTCTATAATAGTGCCGATCACCAAATCACCTGTAATGCGTCCAATCTCAGAGGCTAATTCAGCTTGAGCATGTATAGCGTTTGGATGGGCGACCACCATGCATAGAAAATTGTGTGTTAGGCTGCCGCAGGACTAAAATGCATTAAAATCCATCGTTGTCCTGTACTTCTATGCCCCCCCCCGTCTATACTCCATGCCTTCGACATCGAGTAACGACCAGCATTGGTGAAGTAGGATCAAAGAACCGCCACTACCTGCATGGCGCGGTGGGAGTGGGTGAGAGTACTCCACAGAGACCAGGGCAGTCCCATTTGCAAGAGTGACCGCAGGGGCGAGTTTGCTGCGAGAGTGGTGACGGTTGTGGGAAGCTTACAGTGGCGCGGATACGCGCAGGCCGGTCGGCCGGCGAGCTCACCTCCGTGTTGGAGAGCTGGTACCAGGGCTGCTTGCCGTAGGTGAAGATCTCCCACAGCACGACGCCCAGGCTCCACACGTCGCTGTCCGCCGTGAACTTGCGGTACATGATGCTCTCCGGGGGCATCCAGCGGATGGGCAGCATCGTGTGGCCGCCCACCTGCACATCCCACGAACGGCGCAAGGTGTTTGGATTCGCATTGACCAACGATCACCTGAAATACGTTTGCAATCTGTCCTGGTCTTCTCCACCATCATCCTCTCTTTGGAGGTAGTTTTCCTGGGGAATCTGTAAGTCTTCACTGGACATTAAGCGTGAAGTCAGTGCTTGTCGGTCGCATGTAGGCAGTTATCCCCTCTCCTGGGATTGTGAAATATCCGATAACATGTCCTGCTTTTGGACCTGAGAGTTGGCAACCCTAAGCCAGAATTTGACTTGTGAAGACCCAGGTGTGTTTTGGCATCATAGAAAAGGTTGGCGCAGTGAGGACTGCATGTGGTGCGAAGCAGAGGCGGGGAATACTAGTGGGCAATGCCAGAGCAGCGAACATCAGACAAGTAATGAAATGCTGAGATGCAGCCAAGAGCACCACCAGATACACCACTGATTCATTTCATATTCACAAGTTAACATGCAGAAAAGACAAAGTTGCCCTGTATCGCTGTATAGACTGCAAAGGCAAGTGCTCTTAGCAAGCACCTATTAGGTGCGGGCATGGCACACGAGGGAGTGGTGCGGTGAACACCGCGCCCGGTAATCTTTGTCTCCCCCAGTGCTGATGTGTAAATGCTGCACAGGTGAAGTCGGCCTCGGGGAGGCCGAGGACAACGATTTTTGCCACGCTCGAGAACTGAACTGATCTTACTGATCTCCTTGCGCAGCGCGTAAACCACAGTACAACCGCTCCCCACACGAATACGCACAGAGACAAATTCATGGCACAAACACGGGCTTCGCTGGAATGTGCGTGGCCTCGGCCCTGTGAATCAGGTGTTCTACAACACAAACGTTTATAATGAGACTCGATAACTCTTTGACTACACGTGCGTGGGTTGTAAGGCGGGAGCAGTGGAGAGTGCAGAGACTGTGACTCATATGATGAGTCACAGAGTGAAGGGGAAGGCATCACGAGGTCAAGTGCGAGGAATTGCCGATGCTCATTGGCATGAGACGTGACTTAATAGTGCGCTCATTGCTCCGTAACGCGGTGCGCTCCGGTGCTCCCCGCGGTGTTACGGCAGATGTATGAAGCGGTTTAGCAGCGATGGGTCCTGCGGTGTGCGATGCGTGTGGGATAGTGGCACCACTGGGTTATTTTGTGCGTGATTTATGAAGTGTTTTAACGCCTATGGGTTCTGTGGTGGCTGGCGCGTAATGAAGTGATTGAGCGTTGTATGGTTCTCGTGGTGTGAGGTGGCCGAGTGCCAAAACCAATGGTCGCATTTTTTTTTTCACAGCGGCCACTTTGGCCATCAACTCCGAGACGTAGCACCTTGTCTTGACTGCACGCAGACATTTGGGGCTTGTAAAGAACAACAGAAACATTCCAGATGCACTACATGCAGGACTGTAACTATTACAGTCAACGTGGTAAGCGTACAACTTGGCTGAGTGGTGTCATGGGTCAGTATTTGACGTACATTTCGAAAGTTGGTCATTCAAATCCTGGTTTAGATCAACTCAACCTAGTATTCCTCTGGGGTTATAAAAAAAAACAATTATCTTATAAGTTTACCTTTTTTTTGTTTACCTAATCCATACTGATATTATTGGCACTAATCATAATCATCATAAGCTTGCGGGTTTAATTTTTGGAGACCTTCTGCAGCGAAGACGGAGCAAGTAAATCAGCTCGCGCGCAGAAGCCAGACGGATTTCTGCATCGCCCAACAGTGGAGAGATGCGTCAAGGCTGTTGATGGGCGATGATCACGAAGAAGAAAAACTCACATTAAAAACCGTGAGCAATGCACTTCCTACGCAAGCAGCTCCCACTTGTTGTTGACGATGCAGGAGGAATAGACGAAGGATGAATAACAGTCGCGAGCAACGCGGGGCGAGAGCCCACGTGGCCGCGAGCGAGCCGCAAGCCACTGGCGCCGAGCGGCCTCGTGGGCTCGCGTGCTGCTGCTGCTGGCTGTCTCCACGTGCGAGCCTGGGGGGCAGCCAGCACCGCACGCAGAGCGGCGTGGGAACAGCAGCAGCAGCGGCGGCGGGGCAATGCTGCTGCGTTGCATGCCGGGTTGGCGCGCCGCGTCACCAAATCCGGCCACCAGGGTTCCATTCCCGCTCCCGGGCACGGCCACCAACCAGTGGCGATTATTTTCACCGGTCCTGGGCCTCCCCTTAGGTTGGCTCGACCTCAAATGAGTACCTGGCGCGGTTGTGTGAACATCGCCACTGGGGAGACAAAGGCGGCCGGGCGTGGTTGTTGGCCACCCACCCCTTCGTGTGCCGCTGCCTCCCTTCAGAGGTGCTACTCGCTAACAGCACTTGCCCCAACAATATGTAAAGGCTATACGGGGGATCTTTGTCTTTGTTGTGGCAACGGTGGCGACGGGCGAGGAATTTGCAAATAACGGCGCAACAACATCCGCCCGCAACCCCCCTAACGAGACCCCTCTCGTTTGAACAATTCACCGCGTTCTTCAAGAACGTCCTCTCATCAAAACGAATGCATGTTCGGTTGAAAGTTCTGGCAATGGTCCTTTATTCATAGAAGGACTGACTGTCTCGCTGGATATTTCACTCGAAACTGTGGTGCTCCATCAAAACTTGGCACGTTTTAAAAACGTTTACGTTTGAACAGTTTTTGTTTGTTGTTGTTGTCATGAGCAGGTTTCTCTTAGGAGATGCTGATAATTAATGAAATTTACCTTTAGAAAAGTCACATTACATGTGCAGACTGCATATACATTCAAATGATCGAGCGTGAATGTAGAACTGCATTGTGGTAAAGCAAGTTCCTAGGCCCGGGCCCGTCAAGATCGCGCAAAGTTCGACATCACTGCACATCATCGGCTGCGAAACGAACCAGTCGGTCTTCATAATTCCGTGAGATTTTCCAGTTTATTACGTTCATAAAGGCTGAACAATTTTTCCTTTTTTGTTCAAGTTCCATGTAGCTGAGCATTTGCTGTACAGTTTTTTTTCCCTTCCGCGAAACGAAATGTACTTCAACGAGGAAAAACAAAATCTATCTCGAGCGTCTGTTGGGGAAACTCACCAACTTTGTGCGGAGCACCGCGGGTCATCCGATGAAACCGCCTGACATTGCAGGTGGTTGTTAGAGATTGAGTGCTATGAAGAAGACCCACTGGCCAGCAATTAGCAGCAGAGACTGATATGGATATTCATGACGGCTGAATTTGTTACAATCTCATGGGCGGCGCAATACGAGTGCAGGTTGCATGGGGGGCTTTGCGGAGCGATGCACTATACAAATGTGACACACCCATGGAGCAGGTCACGAACGTCACATTGCAATCGCTATTAGTGGATGTTTTGTGTATTTTATGTTATGCACATATAACATAGCAATCCCTTCAATGCATCTCCATGCCTTCACCGTAAAACATACAAATGTTGTGTTGTTTGTTCAGATATAGGTAGAAAAAAAAATCCAATATTTTTTCGTTAAATGAGTTAATGTGGAAGAAGGCTTTGGCTAATTAAACATTTACCAGTTTACTCAGACTCACACAGCTGCCTATGAGACTCACTTCTCTCCATTTCTTGGCCGTCAAATATTAATGAAGCCCATCTCTGAGACGGCCTTGAGAGCGCACCGTGGAAAATGGTTTCCTGCTGCTCCATTATTAATGAGGGCGACCGCGCGCTGCGCCTTACATGACTGTCTGACCCTTAAAAACGCACAGGACCAGGATGATCCATATTGTGCATGTTGCATAAAAAATAATCTACTCTGGATCACATTACACCACAAAAGGGGTGGTCAGGTTGAAAGACGGCTCTGAAATGATTCTCTAATTCATGGCAAAACTTCACTAGTACTGAACTTTACTTAGTTTTTCTATCATGGTATTATTAAACCTATACAAAGGCCTTATTTTAGCTTGTAATAAACATGACTTTTATTAAAAAGGTAGTTTTTTAACATATGGGTTAAGGTCTGTTTGTGTTTAAAAAAATAGATTTAAGCTTGAAAGAGTCACTGAAATGCAACTACCTCTTTTAATGGGGACATCCAGCTAACTTTACAGAGGGGGAATTGATTTTGTTTGAATACAGCAGGTATGGGGGTGGGGGGGGTTTTGCCACTACAGGAACTGTAAGTGGATAATATTACACATTTTGTAATGCGAGACTTGTTGTTTCTTTCCTTCTGGATATTACATCGTTACCTCGCGTAGCAGTTGGCACCCACTACTCTGATTTGCCCAAAAAGTAAAAAAATAAACATCCAATACGCGGCGACAATTGTACCAGATCATGACGAGCAACCCCTTAACTATAACAAATAAACATTTAGGAGAGACTAGAGGTGCCACGAGTTGGTGAGACTCCAATAAATCAAAGGGTATAAGGTCCACGATAATCCCATCGTCCATTTTGAACAATTCCACCATATTGTAAATTGTAACACAGTATACTATCTTATCATGAAAAATGATGCTACAGCCCGGGTAGGATACCACATGAAATGCACCACAATTTGAAATGTCTTTGTCTGCGTTCAGCATACGAATTCACTTTCAAACACACGTACCATCATGTGTGTCACCCATACATCGGAATGTATAGTCCATTGTAATTTGTTATAACTCACTTTCAGGTAGATCTTGTCACCTCTCTAGCAAATGATCCACGGTGATGTATCCACCTTACATGGATGCTGCGTTTCTCTCTCCTTATTTGTCATAACAATATCGTGCAATGGATGCTAGACGTTTTTTAAATATGCCTCATGTTTTGGATACTGCTATTAGCACTGAATCAGCTCGTATTTATGTGTCAGGCAGAATATTACATTGCAGCATCATTAGAGATGGCAGCGGCTTGCGGATGTTTTTATCAGCAGTGGATTGATCATGGCTCATGAGGATAAATTTCCCTAATCCCAGCTGTTTGTAAAAACCTCAACACATTCGTCGGTATGTTCGCTAATATGATAAGGCTAATTCAAGGATGCAACATGCT